ATTGTTGTTTGGTGGGCCCAGGCTGGATTTGAACCCGCCACCTTAGGTGTATGTGGCTGGTGCCTTAGCCACTTGAGCCACAGGCACTGAGCCCTAAAAGTCCCTTTAATTGAATTTTATGTTACATCAATTATATCTCAATAAAGTTGTTAAAACGTGTATTGGCCTTATGTATGTTCCAGACAGTGGATACAGCATTGAATACAACAATCTTTGTCCTTGGCTTGGCACTTGTAGCTCAAATGGCTAAGGCACCAGCCACATACACCTGAGCTGGTGGGTTCGAATCCAGCTTGGGCCTGCCAAACAACAACTGCAACCAAAAAATAGCTAGGTATTGTGGTGGGCATCTGTAGTCTCAGCAAATCTTTGTTCTTATGTGCTTAAATTATCTAGCATTTATGGAGCACATATTAAATATGAGGCATCATACTGTGTTACAATATACTGTATTACTATATACCAATATTATCCCCATTTCTCAAACAGCTCAGAGAAGTTGAGTAACCCACTGTAAGTTTCTACAGTCACAGAGCTAGGCTGTCACCCTGCATTGTGGCTTCAGAAGCTGGGTGGTAATCTCCAAACTGTTCTGTATTCCAACTGGAGCAATAGAGGAGTTAGTCAGGCAGGTCCTCACAGTTCTTGGTAGGGCATTGAAAAAAAATTTTTTTTTTTTTTAGACAGAGTCTCACTTTGTCACCCTTGGTAGAGTGCCATGGTCACAGCAACCTCAAACCCTTGGGCTCAAGTGATCCTCTTGCCTCAGCTGCCCAAGTAGCTGGGACTACAGGCACCCACCACATCTGGGTATTTTGTGAGACGGGGTCTCACTCTTGCTCAGGCTGGTCTTAAACCTGTGAGCTCAGGCAATCCACCCACCTCAGCATCCCAGAGTGCTAGGATTACTGGTGAGAGCCACTTTGCCTGGACAGAATGAGGCATTCCTAAACTAACTCATTGGCTGCATAGTTCCTAGGCTTATAAGCTTTTAGTGGTACTTCATTATGACTCAGATAATTCATGTTCTAAGACACAGAACCTATAGTCCATGCCCCATCCTTGGTCCTTTTTTCAAGACCAAACTGATGTTGTCCTTCAGATCCTTTCCTATCCAGCAATTCAAATGCTTTCTTGGCACTGTTCTCACAGAATTTTTTTTTTTTT